ACGAGGTTGTGGAAACATAACATTATTATGTATACCATAACAATACTACAGTATTATATATATCATAACACTATTAATAATGGACGCGCATGTGTATAACACTATTATATATCCTGTCTGTCTGTATGTTTTTTTTTACAAAGAACTGTCAAAAGCTACATATCTTGTTAGCAGGTGAACTTATTAGTACTATTTACAACATGAGCGGCCGTGTTGTATCGGATATACTATACAGATACATAATATACAGATACGACACGCTTATAATTTTTTGTGCATGTTTTCTTCATGAATTTTTAATGAGTTTTTAAACAGTACTTACGACACTATACAAGGCTACATGTATTTTAATTTTGGAATAGGTAATAGGACACTCTATAACGTTATACAAGACTATATAACTATATAACAATATATAAAGGCTATACGACACTATACACTGTACAACACTATACAACGTTATGCAAGACTATGCAACAATATGTAAGGTTATACGACACAATACAACACTATACAACGTTATACAAGACTACTAGAAAATACATGCATGCAGAAACCCTCGCCTTGGTGACAAAACCATTGTATTTTCCGAACATGAAGTTCTAAAGTAGTATTTTCCGAACATGAAGTTCTAAAGTAGTAGTTCTAAAGTATTCTTACAAATGAAAAATCGCCTAAAAATATCACTTTTAATTACAAAATTATTAATTTCCCAAACATATATACGTTAGGTATGTTATTATACGTAATATAAACTTCAATTTAAGGTAAAATTCAACCACAAACGCTTCGCAAAACGTTTCAGTAAAGTGTTGTTTATAAAACTAAACTGCCTTTAATTAAATGGCTTTATCGATAAACTTTGAGTTTGCAATAAAATGATTTCAAATTCTTGCATGCAAATAACTTTGCTTTCTTTTTTATTTAAAAAATTCAACATAATAAAAAAGGGAATCAATATTAAAAGATACACTGAAATTAATATATGCTATCTTGTTTAGTTGTTTCATATACGCAAAGGCCGTCAGGTTTTAAAACAATTATAGAATCAATATTTAAAACAAACTTACCTTTGTTAACGTCGGCTCCCTTCTTTTAGCCGATTCTTTTGCCCTTTCTTTCTTGAAATTTACAAAATCTTGCAAATCATCAAATCAAGAAATGTTTGCTATTTCGCTGTCGTCATGCAGTCGTTATAATGCAAACTTTAAATTGGACCAATCAGTGTCCGCTATTCATGACGGTCCGCCATATTTTTGAGATCAGTGAGGATGACCACCCACGCACAGTGACCCACGCCCGCGATATTTGATGAACTTTCGACTCCGCTAATGCTTTCGTTTCCCCGGGTGTAAATAGCCGGGGGGAATTAGTACCCTCGCACGGCTCTTCGCGCCGTCGCCTCGGGGATAAAAATTATGACACTATACAAGATTATACATGACACTATCTGAAGAGAGACGTTTTACACAGATTTGGACGAAGAAGATCACTAGAATTGGAAGGGTGGAATGATGGAGAGGGTGGGTAATAAACTGATTAATGTCAGGTTCGTATATCCCGGATTTGCCTTTGTAGAAGAACATGATATCTTTAATTTCATGCCAATATCAAAGAGGGATTAGAAGAATAAACTTAGTAGCTCGACGTTGAATACCCTCGAGACGAAGTACTAGATCAGCAGACGATCCTTGAGGTGCCCAGAGTTCACAACCAAACGACAAGTGAGAACGAACAGGTGACAACTATAGTAGGCGGCGAGCTTTGACGTCAGTAAGGTCAGTGCGCAGGTAAGGTGGAAGCAATCCCGTCGTAGAAACCCAAGCATTTTACTGGCTTTAGAATGAATGCCTAAATCATTCTGAGTAGCGGTAAAATGTATCGGTTGTTGGTTAAGGAGGTATTCTTGTGGTGACACTGAGGATTTCTTTCGTGAAAATTGGAGGGCGACACATTTGTTGGTGTTAAACTTTAAATCCCACGTGGAAGACCATTGATGGAGGAGATTTAAGTCGGACTGGGGGAGACTCTATCTCGTGGCTAAGAAATTTCTCGGTAGCATTTGCTGTGGTCAGCAAACATTGGGACTATGCCATGCAGGATAGCCGCGTTTGGAAGATCGTTCTCATAGATCAAAAATTGAAGTGGACCAAGTACATTGCCTTGTGGAACCCCTGATGTCACTGTGGGGAATGATGATGCGACTCCTTCGACCACCGCTAGTTGACGCCTTTCATTTAGATAGTCCGAGAACCAACTCAATAATGAGCCTGAGACACCATGCTGTTCAAGTTTCAAAAGAAGATTACGATGTGACACTGAATCAAAGGCATGTTGCAAATTATTCAGCGACGATTGAACAAACTCAAAAACGTGAATATTTACAACTTGTTCAAGGAGTTTAGATACTAGGGACAGCGGGAAATCGGTCGGTAATTGCTCACTAGTGACTTCGTGTATGTTGCTTTTAGGCACTACATTAGCTTCCTTCCGCTCCTGAGAAACCTTACCAAGAGAAAGAGACTTGTTACGAAAGGTGATGAAAATGAGAAACTGATTACTTTTAATGAAAACATAGCACTACTTTATAATAGTAGGCGTATTGTAACAATTTTAAAACAGCAGTGAAAAAGGACCTCGCAAACATTTAATAGTGAATTGTCAAACACTGTGGCCTGGCAATGGGGTGATCTATTTTTGGCCAATAAACGAACAGGGTTTTGTCAGGTGCCCAGGTGGTGTGATCAGTGTATACAAGCTCTATCCAGGTTCTATATTTTCAGATCAGTGGTAATAGCATACTCTGGCCAATCAACGGCTGGCAACGAGATTGTCAATTTCATGAGCAGAAATAAACAAAAGACATTTTAACGTAAATTTTACTCAAATTCGAATATTGAGCAAAACGCATGTTTAATATATATAAAAGTTAAACTTAAAAGTATACGGCAAAAATTTATCACGCAAGTAACGCTGAATACTCGAAAAAATTATCACAAATGCCGTATACTATAGTGCATCATATTTATAAATCATATGGGCTTATGTATGTATCGAAACGTAGACTTGTAGTGTTAGTTTGATGTATGTATCCTGTATGGAATAAATATTATTATAATCACTATATTTATATCATATATTATGCTGTGCAACCTGTGCTGATTCCATGCAATAGTTCAGTATCACTGTATCAGTGATATATCCTAAAAAAATATCGTTCAGGCCATGTAAAAAACTATCCCGGTTTGTCATCAGCGCCCGCATCCATTTATCGTGCCGCATGGATTTCTTTTTTATTTTTAATTTTTAAAAAATCTATATTTCCGGCAGACCATGTGAGGAACCCACGCGAAGTTTTCACGATGGTCGGCCATTTTGAAACCACGAGTTTATATTGACAACGTGTATGATAACTGCGGCAATTGCTAGATAGTATACTTCAAAATAAGGTTTCCATTTTTATATCAATTTTTAAAATAATTAAAATAAGTTAGGGTTAGGTTAGGGTTTAGGTTAGGGTTAGGTGAGGGTTAGGGTGAGGGTTAGTATTAGGGGTTAGTTTTGCGTTAGGATAGTTTTTTCTACGTTATAAAAACGGAAAACTTATTTTGAAGTATACTATCTAGCGATCACCATGATACTGCGCTTGGGCCTTGGCAATTGTAATATTAATGAAAGGTGTAATTATAGCATATTGAAAATATTATACCATACAACTGCGCTGCGTGTTTGAGCATATTTTTTCCGTGCACCTACTAAATGTGATTCGGTAAAAAATAAAAAAAATCCGCCCGCCGGCCCGGGTTTTTTTTCTCCTGCCACTGATGATAAACAGGGATATTATTACATGGCCTCAAATGAAGTTTACGAAGCCAGACATTTGTAACCAAACTGTATAAGGGTGCTACACCACAGAATAGATTGCTACACTCAGTACACTGAAATTAAACAGGCCACAGAAGCCTGTAATCAAAGATTATCAAAACGGCTATGCTCACTGCTATACTATAACTGAATACAAACACAACGTAACCTTGGCCTTGGGAATAAGTGAAAGGTCAATGAGACTTGTAGCCTGCAAGGCTCTGGTTATAGGGAAGAAAGAGGCTGCAGTCGCTTCTAATAAATGTTCGTGTATAACGTTCCCCCTCGAACGCTATGTGCCTTTTGTTATTTACATGCTGGGGGGGGGTCAAGTATAATTGTGTTATACTCAGGGGGGGGGCAACAAAATTTTAGCATTTAACTTTTCATTTCCAGTAGCCCCGCCCTTCCCCTGAAATTGATGACCGGTCCCTTACACGGTTGCGATGAGATTTTATGGATTTTATGTTCCAGTGGCAAAAAATATGAGGTACAACGATTAAAAAGTATGAATTACGCGTGAAATGGACGTAATATAGAAATATACGTGAAATTTTCTGGAATATTAGTCAAAAAAATTTTTTGCCCTTGTTTTGGTGAATTAAGGTTCCGGAAAAATTTTTCGGAAACGAAATATTAATTAGTGATTGCCCTTACGTCAACATTGCCCCCCTGTGCCCTACCCTCGCTCTGGCATCCCTGACTAACAGTGAAACCGATGTTAGATATGTAATCCTACTTTCATGCACATAGTGAAATTGAATAACTTGGGCTCACTATTCCAACAGGTTTCAAGAACGTCCGAAGAAGAACAGACATCCAAGTGAAGAATGTTTTCGCTTACTGTTGGTGGTGTTGCTATTGGTTTGGCTTTCTTTCTCTTTCGTCCCAGTGTATGCATTTTGGAAGAATACGTTCCATTGTACTTAAGCCAAATTGGTTACAGTGCCTCATTTATTGGCTTTGCTACGCTTCTTGGTCTTGTAACTCAAACTGTCGGTATACCATTGCTTAGCTATCTGGCAGACAAATTTCGAGCAAAAAGACTGTTCTTATTTCTCTCTGTTTTTATATCAATCCCTAGCACTTTGTTATTTCTTGCTGCTGAAACCCCAGAACCAATTTGTAACGAATCCATGGGGAACTCGACCATAACAAATATCACCATAGTTACATCGTTGAACAGAACATACAAATTTACCAGCTTACCATCGGCATTACCTTCGTTCTCCATGAAAACTCAAAGTGACAATAACGGAGAAAGATTAAAATTCTTCTTCATTTTTATCGTTTTAAGGGGAATATTTGAACTGTCAAAGAGATTCACTGTCACATTGATTACAGTTGCCGCTATGACCCATTTAAAGCAGGATAAATCAAAATTCGGTTATTATGCATGTTGGGGAGAAATTGGCGGTGGTATTGCATTGTTTGTTGTTGGAATGTCGTTATACCACTTCCAACATAATGTATGTGGTGATCAGGCTCCAGATTATGTTGTTATTTTCTTTTTTGCTGTTGGTTTTCAGGTTCTGACGCTCGGCATATCGCCATTTATGAAATTTCAGTACCTTGAGCATAGAGTGATAGACTACAAAGAAGTTAAGAAAGTTTTAACCAACCCTCATTATATTTTAATTTTGGTTATTTGCTGTCATTCCGGCTTGTGCTCAGCGTTCCAAACTCGATGGGAATTCTGGTATATAGAAAAACTTGGTGGGAGTTCAGTTGTAATGGCTGTTGGAGGTTTATTGAGACGGCCAATCGTAGCCGTTTGGTTCTTACTGTCCCGTCTTATAATTAGACGATTTGGGGAGCTGATAGTCATTGCTTTTTCATTGTTCATTTTTGCTGGCAGTTTTTTTGCACTAGCCTTCATCGAAAATGCTTGGCTTGTTATCGTGGTTGATAATTTTCAAGCTGCATCCTTTGTCTTATCATTCGCATCGTTTGTTGTCCATTTCTCGAAAGCTGGTTCAGAAGCATCCACTGCTTTTTTTCAAGGTACGTTTATTAATACTTCGTTAATTAAAAAGCTTTGTGAATGAGGAAGAGCCATTGTAATTATTTCACAAATGTAATAAACATTTTAGTTGTCCAGTAGGAGAGACAAGGTCGCGTATGTATATAATATATGCGTATGAGTGTGAGCATATATAATATATATATCTATATGTTAGCATGCGCAATATAAATATAATCATGTTAATTTCGCAATTATTAAGTCCAAATGTTTCCTTGCCTTTATTCTGTATATGTATAGGGAGTTTGGCAAAAACATCCGGCAACTTTAATGAAGACGTGATGAATAGCAATAGCACATTTGTGATTTGTTGCAAGACAATTTGGGCATTCTACAATCTTTGACAATATACAGGGTGTATCAAAATAAACGCAATTCATCTTTTGTGCTTAATAACTTTCGAAATACTATTTCTAGTTAAACGCTTTTAGGCTTACTTCAAAGCCTGTTCTTTTCTCTTTCAAACAAACTATTATCCTTGTCTCCAATGCTAGCAATAATTGCACAGGAAAAGATTTAGTAAAACCTATCATTTTTAGTTGCTGTTTAATTATGCAAGTTTACTATGTTATTGTTTAGTCGGTTTAAATGTTAGAATTTTCTTCTTTAAACTTTAATGTTGTCGTCACTACATCTGGAAAACCACGTAATAACAAATTAAAAGTATTTTAAAAGAGACCAGGTTGTTTGAAAATCTTAAACGAATGCTAAAAATCGTCAAAACATTCTGGTGTCTGAGCCAGAGTGTCATCGAATTGCGATGTAATGTAAACAGAAATTATAGCAAGTTGATGTCAGTCAGCTTAGATGGTCCAAGCCAAAATTATATCGCATTTGAAGTTTCAAACTGAGTTAAAAATAGTGGAAGAAGAGCAGTAATCATACTTATTGTTACAATCCATTTAATAAAATGCAACAAATGCAAATCAGTTATTTTCATGAGAACGATTTATTATTCCATCTCAATTTTTTTAATCTCCAATCGCAATAACGTAAAGTATTATTACCCGCGAACCAATGAGTCAAATTTAAGAAACAACCCACTGTTAGAAAGCTGAATGCCTACGCTTTAAAACGAATGTAAACTTTAACATTTTCGTCTATTATTTGTTTAGCAATTTACATTTCAGTCGAGGATTGCGCTTTTTTTGATACACCCTGTAGATTGGGACAATCTAGTTTTCACATGCATTCGGTTGTAATACACCATTTCCTGATACATATTTTCCACCCTCCCTCCCCCCACCCGTTTCAATGTTGGCGCCGCGCATCCAGACATCAGTTTTTTTTTTGCCAAACATTGAACTTGGGGAACGGGGGGTGCTATTCCTTTCAAATTATATGAAATTACAGCAGCTGTCCCATAGTTTCTGGCAAAGATTGTCTTGGTGGTGATCAATGGTGTTTGGAAGTCGATAATTAAACATTTTAGTTCTAAGTTTATACCGCCGAATAACATATATTCCAGTAGCAAAGCATATGTGGGCAAAGTTTTGGTAGTTTTAGATACTATCCATTCATTCCGGGGAGAGGGATCATTTTTAACACTGTATATACCAATACAGGTACGTGAGCTACTAGCTATAATGCTTAATAAGCACATTTATATTCACGTCTAATATCATCATCGCTATCTTCCTTGTGAAAAATCCGCGGAAATTTACTCAAAAGTTACATGCTGTCCTTGGAATGATGCAAAAGGCCATAATTACGACGAACCTGGAACCGAACTATTCAGAAATAATCTGTTTGTTAGTCGAGTAGGTTTAAATCTCATCTCACAACATATCAAACCGCGAGGAAAAACACACACATATGCATTGTTTTCGCCTTTTACAACTTATACTTGAAAACTGGGGTCATTTCCAAGCTAAATTTCATTTGCAGTATAAGATTTATAGCACAGTTCATAAAGCAGACAGGAGTCAAATTTCATACGTCTCAAATTACACGATGCTCACTAACGATTCTCGGTCTAAAACGCTGATTCGCGTTACTATAAATTTTACTTATCTTACATTTTATATCCATATGGGAACAAGAAACCATTTTTCCTAATTACAATCGGTTAACTTTGCAGATATCCCTTTTTAAGTTCGTTTTTGAACGAAGCTCACTACATAACTGTAAATAAATCTATATCTCATTGGCTATTTTAGGACACAAAGTGAGAATCGTTGCTAGAAAATCATTCGTATCTTAGTCAGTTCGTTATGAAAACTTGTAAAATCGAGCTATCTTGTAAAATATGTTGGACTTTAAATGCCTCGAGTGAATTTGTTTCATATTGTCTGCTATTAAGGCTTTTATGGCGGGTGAGCCCATGAAAATTTGGTGAGATTCATGAGATTCGTTTCCATATCAGTTGATCTCATTGTCACATATACGCGCTCAGATAAGCTAACAAGATGGCTCAGTTGTCAATTTTCTTTCAATAGAGTCCCAATACCATTACCATGCATGGAATTCAATGAATTGCGACTAAAACGTGGCACTACAATCCTTTAAATCTGATTCTAAATATACGCGATTTTGCAGCCAGATTTTAGCTATTTCCTAACACACGCATGCATACGCAAACATTGTATAACACAGTACACGAAAATTATCCGTGTGCAACGAAATTGCTAAAGGACCTAACAGAGGTGAAGATATTATGAAAATATAACTGCGTACACAGCTTGATGATGTCTACAATTTGAATTAAGTTTAATTTAAGAGTGATGGTATATATATTACTTCAACAGACAATCTTTGACAATATAGATTGGGACAATGTAGTTTTCACATGTATTCGGTTGTAATACACCCGATTTCCTGATACATATTTTCCACCCTCCCTCCCCCCACCTGTTTCAATGTTGGCGCCGCGCATCCAGACATCAGATTTTTTTTGGCCCAACATTGAACTGGGGGAACGGGGGGTGCTATTCCTTTCAAATTATATGAAATTACAGCAGCTGTCCCATAGTTTCTGGCAAAGATTGTAGTACACCGTTGTTTTTCAAATACCACGTTATGCACATCATTCCAACATTGCACAACATCACTAACATTTGATTAAGCATAATGTGAAGGATTACCAAAGCCCAGTTTGTGTTATCACGGATAACAGATGCATGGGGAAACCGAAGTAAATATTTTTTGTGATTTATTCTAAAGATATAAAAGACAACCGCGCCTGTGGGTTAAATTATTCAAATACATATATTCAGAGACTTTCGTCGTACCTTGTACTGTTATTTATGCCTGTATTCTAAAAGCTCACTCACACTCAATGATTGGAGGTTCAATCTGAGCTTCTCTTGAGTGTCATTGCTGTTTTTGAATACGACACCAACCCGCCAGCTATTTAAAAACAGCAATGACACTCGAGAGAAGCTCAGTTTGAACTTACTCTCATTGAGTGTGAGTGAGCTTTTAGAATACGGGCGATAGTCTTTATTATATTTCACATCCTTTCTGAATACGTCTTGTTTTTGGTCATCTTTTCACATTGCATATATCATGACGATTTCGCCGTTGGCTTTAATTAGCCAATTAGCAATTACGAATCCTTTTAAATACACGATTACAAAAATTGTTTAGCCAGCTGGGAAATGGGTTAAAAGAAATACAAAATCTAGGGCGTTGAAAGACAATAAACTTAAATTAAATTGAACATTAAATTGATCTCAGTCGCAGCCGTTCTTGTTTACCGAACTCCCTTATTAGATATGGTACATCTTTCTAAAAGCCATTTATAGTAACACTTGTGTATCAATCATTTTCTGAACAGGCGCAGTAAGTTTAACATTCCATGGCATTGGAAAGGAAGTTGGTACTGCAATCACTGGCTACCTATTTACCGCAGTAGGAACAAAGATTGCGTTATGTGCTTATTTATTTTTTTAGCTTTGCCAACTAGGGCAGGGTCACCACAACAGCATATGCCAATTACTGTGGGCCCTTTTTTACCTAACCCACCCTGTCAACTTTCCCTGTGGGAGGAAACCGGAGTACCCGGGGAAAACCCACGGCTTTCGGCAGAGCGTTGACTTTTACTCTTTTCACATGGGGACTGGGTTCGAGTCGCACTGAGAAGGTACTTAGTGAGACTCGAACCTGCAGCCTCAGAGGTGAAAGGCAAGTGCGCTAACCACTTGGCCACCGAAGCCCCTAAATAGCTTATTCACTGCTGACTGTGGTTCTTCTTATGATATTTTCAATTTATATGCTAATTACTGCTAAAGATCTGATCGGTTACACGAGAATACGAGAAAATGAAGAGGATGAAGCTGAAAAGGATCTGTTGGAGGAGGATTGATTTGGTTTTAATTTGATCGTGAGCGGTCATGTCATTAGCAAATTAAAATTTGGACATCAACACACTAAAGATATAGATGGAGAATATTTAGCATCGATGCATACAATCAATCATTTGAAGGAGGACAAAACTAAAAGCAACCGATTAGTCAGTATACATGTAATTATCTGTTGTGAAGCGGTAGAGGGGTTATTACAGGGGTTATTACATTATTTCTCCTCTGAAAAGGGGCGCACTATTTGAAACGGACTTATTTGCGGTGTGGAGGCGTAATAGAGGATCTGCGGTGAAGGCTTTTGCAGATGGAAATTTCAAATGCGAATTTTATTCATTAGACCAAACCAGGAGCAGTTTCGAAAATCCTGATATTTACCCATACACCTTATAAATGGATTACCTTGTTATATACATGAACTTGCGGTTAGAGGCTTACAGCTCGACAACTGGACTCTGTAGCTCAGTTGGTTAGAGCGTTGCACCGGAATCGCAGGGCCGCATGTTTGATTACTACCAGAGGACCTACAGTTGTATTTTTCACAACTGCTCCTGGTTATAGATATTGTCAGACTCGAAATTTGCATCTACAAAACCGTTCAACAATTATTAGTTCTATCTCAAGTGTAGATGCTTTAAATCCTGACTGGTTACGAGAGCAGAGTGAAAGTTAAACAGACCTGTATATTTACTATCAAGTGTTATTATGACTAGAAGCAATAGTTCAATTGTTTTGTTTGATTATATACCTCATGATATTTCAAAATTAATTTCCATGACTGCTTTTTTCACGCCAAAGATGACCGCAATTGATATAGAGCTACTAATTCAATTACGGTTGCCTCTGAAAATCAAAAACTTCGACCAGTCGACCTCTAATCGCGAAATGAACAATGGGCGCGTGTTTATTATGAGATTGTTTATGCCATGCATGTTAGGCACGGGTCACCACTATTTTCCATCCAGGAAACCGCCCTATCGATTTTCTAAAGTCTTTCTTTTTGGATTTTTGTTATTAAATAAATTCGGTTAGGGTTAGAGTTAGGGTTGAGGTTAGGGTTAGGGAGGGTTAGAGTAGGGTTTGGGTTAGTTACATAGTCATTTAATGCCTCTTCCATCTTCTGAAAATGACGTCAGGTCAGTTTGCAGGATGGAAAATAGTGCTAACCGTTAGCACGTTCTATAGTTGCTATGTTTTGCTAATTATGTATATGTCTAATATTTATGCTATTTATTCCCAAAGACAAAGTAATAAAATCCCACGAATTTTCCAGGGTGTGCTAAAGAATTGGGTTAGATGAACGAATAAAATCCCAAATAGGTGTAAATTACGGGGAATACGTAAATTACTAGGTTACTCACACGGTAGTGAATGCTGCCTTGGTGGGCATTGTTCCCAAATCTTTAAATGAGACTTTTTGTATGTTACGTAACACGCGCTGAAAACTAATGCGTATAATATACCACATGAGATTATGACTAAAATCAAAATTTTTATTTTTCGATACGTTTCTCAATCGGTAAAACTATGAAAAACTTAAAAAGTATGTTTAGTGCTTTATCTCTAAAATAATGCTAAAATGAAAAGATTTTAGATGATACGCCAGAGAGAAAATGATGTCTGAAGTTCAGTACGTTTTGTTTAAATGGCTGTAAATATAGCGTCAATTTTAAGGCATCATTGATAATTGTATTTTAATTGGCAATATTTAACTATTATTTTATGTTTCTCAACCGGCAGACGCATTTAAAAAGGTAGCTAACTCTATAAACTGTAGAGAATAAAGCTAAAACAAAGTAATTTTGAGAGGAACGCCAAAAAGATTTTAGATTTTGAACACTTAATTTTCATTGCAAATACGTGACATTGAAAAAAAATTGCCTCTTAATATTTTAAAGAATAAGAGTAAGAAATATTCGTAATGAATTGGAATCATCCATAATTTATACAATTGAATGTGCCGTATGATAACTCGGCGCTCGAAATTTCGTATCGAAAGAGGAACAGCCGAACAGCTTGATAAGTACACTCATTCTTGTTAGCCATCGTACGGTACGATGGCTAACAAGAATGAGTGTACTTATCAACTTGTCTAACGCGAGGAAAAGATCAAAATGGCAGGTATGGCTGTGATATCTAGTATATAAAATTGTATAGACAATTTTCCCACAAATACGGTACTAGGTCAAAACGGCCCAAAGTCAAAACGGCCCCGCTTCAATAATCATATGATTTAGACCAGGGGTTAAAGGGCAATGACAATGACAATGACAATGACATGCAGGTGACATTTAACATGTGCGAGTGTCCGTCTCACTAAATTTGCGTGTTTAATAATGTTTATCAAAGAAGGCAAAAATATATACAAGACAACCTCACATGTGGAATCTGTTCACTTACGCACTGCGTTGTGATGCAGTACAAGTACAAATACAAATGACAAAGCATCTTTAAAACATAATTAAATCATACGGCACATTCAAGATTTTAATATCGTATTTCAGCCGCGTTTATACTGCTTGGCGCGCATTTGCTGCGTTATATTAATTTATATACCTATGTTATATACACAGATTTATTACTAATAAATCAACACTATATGATAATATATAAGAACTCACAAAGTGCAGTCACCTTTTTATAAATAAACCTTTTTAAAAGCATGTCATTGTCATTTCAGACCAGAGGCAAAAAGTACAGCCACATAGGCCTACCAGATTTATTAAGCAATCATGAGATTATATACATGGATGGAAAGAATATGGAAATTATGTTAAGAGCACCCTGTATAATGACGAAAGCACCGCGTATAATGCTCGAACCACTGCGTATAATGGCGAACGCACCGCGTATAATGGCGAAAGCACCACGTATAATGCTCGAACCACTGCGTATAATAGCGAAACCACCGCGTATAACGCTCGAACCACTGCGTATCGACAAAATGCCGTTTGATCACTTACGCCAGCTATGGCTTTCCATAAAAGAAAACCAAAGATGAAAGATGATCACATTGCTTGTTTTCCTTATGCCTGTTTATTAGGCAAGAATAGCCTGTGCATTGTGGTAGGCCGAAATACGCCGAAACGATCGAGATTTCATCTGCCTTACTATTCGTACTACCTACGAAACTATTTAGTAATAAAGATGCATGCCTACTGCATTTTGTTGATTGTTGTACCTTAATTTAAATATGCTCTGGTTTTCCATTGAGAATTTTACCAAACGTTTTTATAACCAACGAAACCAAGTCGTATATATATATATATATATATATATATATATATATATATATATATATATATATATATATATATATATATATATATATATATATCGTTTAATATAAATCAACCATTGCAGTCCGAGGACTGAATTACAGTGATAAAAAGTAATTAGTTACAATATTCAATAAGTAGTTATTTACATTAAAATTATTTTTCTTATTTACAATAGTCAATAAATCTATAACTTTGCAGCTTGATGTATTATAAAACTATTATTAAATCTATTTGTCTTTGTCCGCTTAACGTTAAACTTTCTATTGTTTCTCAGGCCATATGAGTTTATATTTTTGGTTGGTAGCAATTCAGCCAATTTATGTTGTGGGTTCGTAATAATATTTGAAAACAGCTTATCACACAGCATAGTCCGTCTGTCGTGCAAGGTTTCCAGTTCTGCTCTTTTTAAGTTTCCTGTATAACTCAAATCTTGATAAATTATACGCAAGGCTCTTTTCTGAATATGCTCTATATCATTTGATAAATACTGCGGTAAACTAGTATGAAACGCCTGACAAGCATACTCGAGTACTGATCTTACTAAGAACAGTAAAATTTAATTAACGATTTGGAATATATATATATATATATATATATATATATATATATATATATATATATATATATATATATATATATATATATATATATATATATATATATATATATACATATACATAAAGATTAGGACTGCTGCCTCGCTCGCTCGCTTCACGCTCGCTCGCTACGGCAGCAATAAAACGCTTTTTTACACAAAAGCAGCTTGTGGAACGCAGCAACCGTAACTACGGAGTGTCGAAGTATGAATTACATATTCAGGTATGCAAATCCATCGTGCTTTTCGCGCTTAGAAGCCGAGAGTTTTGACTTTGGGAGGACAAAATTGATTAAATTAGCTGTATTCGTGCACTCTCCTCCGCAGAGCCTTACGAATTTTTAGTAAAATTACGTAATATTACTTGGGAAACAAATTACGTAATTGTTAGTTAAACGCGCTAGGTATGATGGGAAGACGGAAGCTACGTAAGGCAACGTACATTTTGTCAACCATCGATCTCACACCCCCCCCCCCCATCGCGCACCACTAAATGTCCTCTACTTTCCCTACATTATCCCTACAAATCCTATATAATAATTCAGACTCTGCGGAGGAGAGTGGTATTCGTGCATAAATAGGAAATTATTGAACTGCTGATAATAAATTTCTGATTTACATAATTTCTCTGCATGTATATAAATTGGAGAAGTAGAAACATTATATAGAAATATCAGATATTACATGTGCGTGTTTCTATCAGTGTGCTCATCTATATTTTTGTGTTGTATTTTTTGTGTTGTATTTGACCATAGTGTTTGGAGTACTCGGTGTATAACTAATTAAAAGTGTTACAATCCAGGCGTATTGAATTGAGTCTGTGTAATTCAGATAAAAGGGAAAAAATATGCATCAGTAATAGACCTTTCCCCTTACGAGTGGAATTTTGATCTAGATATGCCTGGACAAAAATTTCATCACAGCTTGAAAGAGCATCACAAAATTTAAATAGTAATATTCCGAAGTTTCGTTGCGAAATGCTGTAAAATGCGGATGATAGGCTATAGCCTTGCGAAGTTTGCCGTTTTTCAGTCATTTTGAATTACAAACGGGAAATTGATAATCAGATGATCAAACTGATTATCAATTTCCCATTTGTAATACAAAATGACTGAAAAACGGCAAACTTCGCGAGGCTATATTATCCGCATTTTACAACATTTCGCAACGAAACTTCGGAATATTTATCAATTATTGGACGAGGTTGAGCAAAATATCGTAATTTGTCGGTGACGAGCCGCAGATCAATTATTTGCCGATGCCGAAGGCAGATGCAAATAATTGATCTGCGAGCCACCGACAAATCACGATATATTGCGAGAACCGAGTTCAATAATTGTTTTATCATTCACTTATAAAGCTTCATTTTATCTTCCGTTTAGTTAGCCGTCTCTCTTTCTTGCTTCTGCATAAAACTTGCGAAGGACGTTGGCAAGAGTTTCTTTTGAGCCAACTACAATCAGTTTCAAATGTGTTGGGACAGATGCATCAAAACCCTTTAATTTTAACACATGTCGATCCCCCCGCCCCCTATTCAATGTTGTGTGCCATTGTTTGATGAGTATTGGTATTCGAATCGAGAAAACAACATTGATTGGGGAGGAGGGAGGGGGAGGGATGCGGTATTGTGTGTAACAGACTGTATAGATTGATTTAAGTCTTAAAACTGCATGTGTCCCAACAACTTTTGAAAGTGATTGTCTGAAAGGCATATATGACCTACTTGACTTACAGAGTATTTTACAAAGCCGTTTTTACGAAATTCATATAGGATTTACCGTAACATAATTACTGAATTGCATTGGCAAATGTAATGTTTTTACTGTGCTTGTTATTGCCAATAAGTTTGAAATCTAACATAATAC